ATCCCAATTTTTGTTGTCGGGACTAAGTTAGATCTAGCAGAAGAAAAACATAAGGCTAAAATAAAATCAATCAGTAATATAGGTATGTATCATTCAAAATGTTATTACAATTTTAAATCTATAAATGAATGCATGAAACAATTATTTTGAAAGTATATGGCATTTGTATTTATATTATTATTATTATTACAAATGAGCATGAATCAAATTCATGAACATACTTGCATAAAAATATATAAATTGAATTGAATTATTAATGAAGTTGGCAGTGACTTTTCATATTATCATAGTAACATATCATCAAAATGGTTTGTTTTTATATTAATTGATTTATTTTCTCTGAAACTACTCTACAGCGGATCAATGTGGGGCTGATGAGATTCATGTGAATTGTCATCAAAGTAAAAGTTTGGCAGCTGGTTCTACTACAGCCGTTAAATTAAGCAGATTTTTTGATAAAGTTATAGAACGTCGTTATTACAGCCGTGATGCTATCAACAGAAAAAAAATGTTTGCAGTGACACCAATTGTCGATCGAACAGCTGGAGCTTATTCTCCAATAACAATGGAACAAGGTTATCACAATCCTTTAACACCAAAATTTTATCATATGGAATAAGGATATAGTAAAATCATAATTTAGTATATGTACATACATGCAAATATTTATATATAAACATATAATTGAATATATATTTATATATTATATAGAGATGTTATATTAAAATAAGATGAATCTAACAAGGCCTTTCCATTTTTTTCCACCAAGTATATTTATAATGATATTTTTGTATTTCAATACCTCCTCTTGGAATAGGAACCATAGATTTTCCTAGCATTCCATGAGATAAAGGGGGTTCCACCAAATATGCTGGAAAACAATCTAAAGATTCCCACTCACAATTTGGTGGAAGTATCAAATGTTTCCAGCCCGTGCGATGTAGCATATTTACCTACAACAAAATTAAGTTATTTATTAAACATTAAGCATAGTTTGATGTTCTGATCATGTACCTTCTTGCTATCTTTGAAAATAAATATTTCCAATATCGCTCCAGGTTTTAAAGTATCTGATATTATAAACTTGCCTAGAAAATTTGTAAAGTGGTTAGTAAATATTGTTTTTTATATTTAATAAAAGCTAATAAATTATAATTATTTGAAATTGAAATAAATTGTATGATATATGAAAATTATACAGAAATTATTTCGGACTCAAAATTCTTTGATATTTATATACATTATTGTAAATCTTCATATGGCATGCATGAAGTCATAAGAAGTAAATAAAACTATAAAAAATATAGTTTATATAAAATAATAATGACAATAAAAATTATCAATGAATAGAATATAATGCAAAATGAATCAAAAGAGAATCAATGCAAACAGAATCAATGAATAGAATGCAAGTTAATTGTAGAATGAATTAATATTGCTATTGATTAATGGAAATAAAATTGCAAACAAAAAATACCTTCCGCTGAGCTGTATTGGATATGTAAATTTGATTTTTCAAAGATCATCAGTACAGTATCATTTATTTTTTCGTTTACTTCTAATTTGAGACATATTTCAGCTTTCTCTGCCCAAGGAAATAAATTTGAATGTTGTATTTGCCCCCAAAGAGTTTTATAGCATAGAAAATGTATAATATTTAAATGATCCAATATTTCATGTACTCTGAAATAGTAAGAATTAATCATGTATATTATAACAAAATATATTGATATTTTATTACCTTGAAACTAATGAGTTCAAACTATTAATGAATGCTTCACTTTGTAAGCACTGTTTTTTACGATTATCATTGTAAAAACATCTGTATATTAAAATGATGAATAAAACCACAAATAAACATAAAACTGCATGTTTAAAGTATAATCGCATGTTATTTTTATGTATAAATAAAGTTTTATGAATTCACTTCAGTTTATAAAGTAATATTGCATTTATAAAGGTAATCCATAGTTATTCAAACATGCTGGCAAGATTAGTTACTTTATTATTATTTTTACCCTTATTTAAATTTCGTTTCTTAATAACACTTGACACATTGTGCAACAATAACAATAATGACAGCCAAACTGTCAAAAAGTAACTACCATAGGCAGCCAGTAATAACTTTTCATAGATTGAGTGATTTCAAGACATTCCATAGAGACTTCTTTAAAAAGATTGGACATTATGTTCGGATCTATACTAGCGCCGCCAGCGGAATTAATATGAACTTGTCTAGTTGCGTACAATACATGAATTTAAATAAATAAATTGTATGAAAATTTATATAATTTATCACGTTTTGGAGATAAAAAATGTCCCTATTGACTCATTTAAAAATATTAATTAATATTTAAGAAATATACTAGAGATAGTCTATTGGAGATAGTTTTTCATTAAGATGGAATACTCAAAATCAATATTAACCTGTTGCATATTTTTAAAATAATAGCGCATCATTAGTTTTACTAGCTTTTTTGTTCGTTTTTTTTTCATTTATTACTTTTCAGTGTTATTGATTATTTAGAATTGAATAGTTCGTATTTATAATAATATTTTTTCGATTGTATTTTTAAGTCCTCTTGGGGCTACCCTATGGACTTTATAATAATAAGATAAAAAATAAATAATTGATGCTGCAACTTGGTTCATACATATTTCTTTTAGTATTACATTAGATAGATCTAGTTTTGCAATGAATAAAGTTGTTCTTATTCTTCTTTATCAAATAAAAGCGGACGAAAACAATTTCAACTCTGTACTGAGCGATTGCTTATTGAATAATTTCACAAAATAATAACGATATTACATATTTATTTAAAATACATATTGCCATAAAGTAAACATTTTATGCCGTTCTAACAATTTTAATAGCATGAGCGTATGACTATAATCAATAAAGTAATATTATCTTCTAGGAATAAATCACAATAAATCAATCAAACAATTTAAAAAGTTAAACATAAATAGAAATTATTTATAAGCGTATTTAATTTCGATTTAATTTTCTGCAATTTAATGAATATATTGAGTTCTTCAAAATATACAAATTAAGTAATTAAGTCCATTCATGATGACAAGTAATAAGGCCCCCAATATTCATTAAAGTTATCGTGCCTAATTAATAACCACTAAACCATAATAAATGATATTTTCAAATTACTATCGTGATTATTTGCATATTATATGAAATTACAATAGCACAAATTTTATTACATTTTGATGTTTGTTAAATCAATTTACGGTATTGAAATTCTCATGCCTTTGATATTATTATTACAAAAATAAATTAAATTTTATGATAGATTAAAATGATTTACTAAATGATTTTAACTTAAAATAGCAAGAATTGGTGCGATATCTTATTAATATCTAGTACATTTATCTTTATATTGTAGGAGTTGATATACAGCACTTGGTGATATTTTTATTATTCATTATAATATAGTTTTAATTCTTAGATTCAAAGATATGTTAACAATATATTGTTAATATGATGCCAACATACCTATTAATATGAAGTACAATCATCAAATCATTATACAATCAATATGGTAAAAGATTCAGATGAAATTTTTTTCAATGATATTAATTTAAGAATTAATTTAAGAAATAAGCGAGGTCTTGGCTTTCAATTTGCAATTTATTGAAAGGTAAGACAATTATATATAATATTAACAATTTATTTTACTATAGATATTAAAACCGTTCTCACACGAATTAACCAAATCAAAAAGGCCAATATAAAAGTATGTGATAATTGCCAGGATTTAAGGCAATATACAACATTACTTTGTAATGTAAGTATATTTTAAAGAAGAAGAAATATATTATGAATATACCAGATGTACTTTCAGGTGCGTAGAGCAAACCCTCTAAGCGATGTAATTTTATTTTAATTTGCTAATAAATTATAAAAGCATTAAATTTAGTATATATATAAAAAAAGAAAATATTTCAATACTGTCGATGTGGTTTGATTTCTTATTCATATTTATCAATTTTGTAATATAATTAAATTAATTTGGTATTATAAACGATTACACAGTTGCCAAATGCTGTTGAAACTTAATATTAATCTTAATAAAATTAATCCTAAAATTAAAGTAATAAAAATATGCATCATATTCATCCTAATAATAATTTTTACGTTTTTTTACTTAATTAAATGCCTTATGCCAACTTGTGTGAGAGCGGGTTAAGTGATATGGGGAACATGTACATGTAAGATTTTATTTCTAATTTCATACACTTTCTATCCAATATATTTGTTTTCATATTTCCATTTTTCTACAAAATAATATCATTTATAAACCGGTGATTCACTCTAATATAAACATTAGATTCTCTACAACAACACATATAGGGCTTTATATCCAACAACATTTATCGTTAAATACAAAATGGCAGATTTTATGTTATCATGCATAATAATAATTATTAATATTTGCAAAATTCAGAATTTTGCTTCATCTAAGTTCAAATTATTCATCCATAGGACGTACGATAAGTCATCCGTTACAATTTTGAATGACTTAAATATTGAATTAAATTCGAAATTTTTTCATAAATATGTAACGTAAGTAAAATAAATTTGTAACTTAAGTAAAAATATTCCATAAGTAAGGTGAAATATACAATTTATTTTTTCGATAATTGAATAAAAAATGAAAACAGAAGAATTTAAGTGTTAATAAATTGTTCACAACGTTTTCAAATTTATTCGCTTATTACTACATTTTATTTACTAAAGTAATATTTTTTACCGATATTTCAAAGGTTTTAATTGCTAAATGATTCACAATTAATGATTTTTTAAACAAAATTTTATATGTAATAAATGCCGAATTATATTTGAATTTTTTATTAAATAAAACTAATCCCGTATTTAGTTAACACGTGTTAACGTGTTAACCAGTACTGGTTAACACACTTAAAATTAATCCAAGCATATATTATACTATATTACTATATTTTATTTATATTTGTGCTATTGTTTTATTTATTACATTTATTTACTGACTTAATTTATTGGTTTGTTAATATCATTTTCAAAAATAGTCTGTCAGAATTATTATTACTATTGTTCTATTTTTTAGCGATTTTCTTGCCTGTAAAACGAAGATATATTTGTGGAATCAGCTCAAGCTCATTTGCTCATCTTGTTTTATCGTGTTTGTAAGCTAAGTTGCATGAAAAATCTGCTTAAAAGAAGTTAATTTATAATTACAAGGAATACAAGGAAATTTATCACAAACTGCCTCTTAGGACCACAAAATTAATTTACTAGAAATAAATATCTGTGTTGTGTTTCTGGTAATAATATCAATTGATGCTATTAATTGTGACTTTGAAAAAATATCAAATTTAGAGATATTAAATTATATTTGATATCATTTTTGGATATTAAATAATGCATCTCTTTATCATGCTACAAGTTGTTAAAAATAGTAATTTGATCAAATAGTAATTTATACAAATTAAATACCATCATTCATTTCATAAAATCATAAAATGTGTAATTAATTAATCATTTAAGCAATTGCTTTTGGCAGGAATATTTTTATCTCAATTTCACAATTTTATTGCAAGAAGATTTGTTTTAAAGATATAAGATAAAAATCGATATTTTTTCTGTCTACATCGGAAACATTACTCTGTAATAAATCATATTGCGATTTTTATAACTTCAACTAAAAAAGCTAATAATTGTCAAAGAATTTTCTTGTTAACCATCTTAAATGACTTGTACTGATACCATCTTTTTTATTTTGGTCATATACTTAGATAATGTATAATATTAGAGAAGTTTACGATATTGATGAAAAATACTGAATAATTTTTGGCAATTTAATTAACAAATTTTATCACAAAAGTAATAACTTTCATAGGCAATGAGTCTGTGTAACTAAATACTATATATGAAATAAATATAATAATCATATTTATATGAAATAAAACTAGCGACTTTCCTAGTTGGTTCTAGCAGCTTTCCAAGTACTTATAAAGAATATTACAATATTCAATAAATTTAGCTAATCAGACTTTTTAATGAAAATAGTTCAAATGATATTAATATTTATTATTATTGTCGTTTAAATTAAAAATAAAAGGTACAACATCTATTATCAAAATGCCAAAAATTAATCAGTATTTTTTTATCCAAATTTATTTTACTAAATTCGTATTAAAACAAGAATTCTATACCATATACTAGGTCAGGAAAGCGCAGTCGACGCAAAAACGACGGGCTTCCATCACAGCCATCCAGATGGTTGGTTGTGTCCATTAAGAGGAATGATACCGGGTAAATGGGGCAGTATCCTGGGTTGACCATTTCGATGGTTCTTTGCTGACGATACCAAAGGCAAGTTAGAGTCTTCAGATTCAGCCAAACCTGGAGTTTTGAGCAGAGGCTCACGAGAGCTTCCTTGAGCACTGCTGCTAGCCGCCACGCTTTCCTCGGTTGTTGATGGCGTTAGAGGAACACCAGATACTAAAAAATTTTTTTTATTAAAATTGATTAAATATTACAGGATATCTAAGAACCCAACGTCAACGATCGTAACTAATGAGAAAACAAATCTTTGTAGTGTGAAAATTATGATTTTTTCAGTGCAACCTATAATATTCGACTATTCGTAAAACTGTAAATATTTTTTGTTTTTTTTTGTTTTTTTTTTTTTTTTTTCAATTAATCTTTGGATCAGTAGACGCAAAAACATTGACACCTTTCTTCCAAGATTTCTAGAATTAAGACTATTTATTAAACCAAAAATTTAAAATTTTCAAAACTATTCGACCATGAAAGACCATCCTTTAAAAAAATGTAATAAAAGTTTATTGGCAAATTTCATCAAAAGTTCGCGCATTTAGTTAGGATTGTAAAATTGTTCAATAATTCATATTTCTATAATAATAAAATTGTTTAAAAAAATAAAAACTAAAAATGACATTTTTGCTATTTATTCATAATCCGTTCAAATGTTGGTTGTACAAGTAAGCTCTATGAAACTATTATTTGCTCTATGAAAGTATTTTATTTCTTGTGAAACTTGCCAACAATCTTTAGTGCATTTTTTTTAAACCTTCTTAAAATAAAGCAATTGTGACATTATTTTTGACTGTGGCCCTAGAAATGTTATTTACGGTTACAGACAGGGCCGGATTTAAAAATTTGGCGCCCTGGGGCACTGACAAAAATGCCGCCCTTCCCTAAATTTTTACTTAAATCAGTTTATATATATCATTTTTCTAGAATTAAAATAACTATTTGATTGCAGAACATTTATTACGCATTACATAGTGTAAATAGTGGTGCTTGGCATCGTGCCTCAAGATAAATTGCTGAAACCGTACCAAAAATTAATATTAAAAAAAAAAATTAAAGCGATCGGCCTGCCTTAGCAGACAAAATGAAGAAGCGCGTAAGCGCCGCCTCGCAGAATAACAGATAAATAATTTTACAGAACCCATAGAAATGTAACCAAAATTTATATTATTAAAATATCTGATAATTTGATGTGCATATGGCTAATGATCATTTTTGACCGCCAAATGTTTCTCTTTCAAATTTTTTTATTAGATCACCGAAACCGCTAGACCTGCCTCCCACAAATTTAATCAGTTCTCCATTTTGTCTCCATATATGTAAATTTCTTTTAATGATATTGGACGTTTCATTTCTCAAGAAATGAATTATTATTTTTGGCATTTTGGCCCGTATTTCCGAAACAGTTGGACCCGTCTTGGCCAATAACTAATCAGCACGTCTCGCTATCAATAGAAATCAAATTATACAAATAAAATTTAATTTTAATAAGTTTAATAAATGAAACTTAATAATTTTAAAAAATTTCGAAATATAAAAAAAAAGTTTTTTTAAAGTCAATGTTTATTATTTTCAATAAATTTTTATAAAATGTAATTTGTCGTAAGGCACAATGCCATGCGTCACTAATTTAATTTTTTTCTGCGCCATGAGCTTGGAAGTGCACAAATTTGTCATATTAAGATGGCTCGAGATCTGAAGAACATATTTTTCTTAATCTTTCAACTCACTTACGATCTTTATATTAGCCAAATTGCTAAATTTTGCTAATAAATTTGTATAATTTATTGTTAATTATATTTCTTGAAATTAAAAATGTTATTAAAAAAATGAGTTAATTATATGGTAAAGAATTTTCTTCTCACTATCTAAATTTTGCCGCCCCCAAAAATTTGCCGCCCTGGGCAGTGGCCCCGACTGCCCCTACTGTAAATCCAGCTCTGTGTATATAAGTATATATACATGTATAATAGAACACTTGAATAAATTAAAAATATATTTTGATATTAAAATTTAATTTCATCTTTAGTATATATAATTTCATACCAAGTATACAAATTTTTCATGTAGCCATTTTTTTTTATTTTCATGTAAATTACAATCTGTCTACGTAGAAAAACATTGAGTAATTAATTTGACAAATAACATAGAATTTCAAAAGGAAAACCCAGACACTGTCACTTTATATTAATGTACTAAATTATGACTTAATTAAAATTAGGTATATGTATCCATATAATCACTATAATTTTTCTAAAAATATTCAAAATCTTTTAAGACTGAATTTATTTGTTTATTTTCTTCAAAAATCCAATTGTAAATAAACAATGACAGGTTTTCTGTGATTTTGCCAACACTAGCGCTATCAATTGCCTAATACCCAAAACTATTTATTCATAAGATAACAACCAAAGATAAATGATTTTATCATAGATAACAATCTATGACAAAAATATAAGAATTGAATTTGAATTTGTAGGTAACGACATAAACGAATATGACCGATAACGATTTATATTGTTTTGGCGCCTTTTCGCCCCCATAAAAGCTGGCACAAACACCGTGTTAAGTCTTTTTGTGCTGGGACCTCGGGGTGACACTACGGTGAAAGGTAAGTCATTTATAATAATTAATATTATTCTAAAACTTTTTTCAAGTAGTTTCTAAAAAAAATCATATATTCAGTTTCTTGAATATATGATTTATGCATGGTGTTAGCTTGTGTTTTGATTTATTTAATTTTATTTAGTGAATTATAAATTTAAAAAAATGGGAACTGTTTATTATTTATATAAATCGATTTATGTTATTTTTTCTATTTCAAAATAATTTTTGCCAAAGAGTTGCTGTGCTGGCTTTGGAATAACTCTTCAGCCAAAATTATAATAAAATATAGAAAATAATGTAAATCAAATAATATAAATAAAAACGGTTTTCAATTTTTTTTAATTTTAATTCAATAAAAATAAATCAAATCAAAGCGCAAGTACATATATATATATAGGTATATATATATATATATATATATATACTAGCAAACCCGACAAATCCGTTTCGCACCAGATGTTTCGTGAGAAAGATAAGAAATATTTTGTTTGTTTTATATTTGAAAAGGAAAAATTTGATCAGGAAGAAAACCCGTTTATTTTATATATATAGAAGTAATCTATTTGCAATTATTTAAAACAATTATTGATTATTTTTAATACTCGAATTTTTAATTACGGTGCGTGAAGTTCCAGCAATTTGCATTAGGGCACGATGCCATGCCCCACTAATTTTCTTCGCTATAAACCTTGCGGAGCCCAAGACCTTTCCATGAATGCAAAATGTCGAATCGGTTCGTGCGTTCTGGATTATTTCGTCAGGAAGGAAAACCCGACTTATTTTTATATATATATAGAAGATATATATATATATATAGGTATATATATATAGGTATATATATAGGTATATATATATATAGGTATATATATATAGGTATATATATATATATATATATATATATATATAGATATGTATGTATATAGGTATGTATGTATATATGTATCTAATATATATTGTATATATTTTATATTATATAAATATAAATAATTCCAACTGTAGAATTTAGGTATGATTTTATGACATAAAATTCATTTTTATATAATTTATTTGAATATACATTTTGATTTAAATATTGAATTATTAAATGAAAAATAGAAATAAGAACATATGTAGTATATGTATAAATTTTATTAAGTCTTATAACATTAAACCATGAATATTGCATAATAATTGTACAAAATAATAATTTTAATAACAAAGTCAATAAAAATGAAAAAAAGGATTAGAATTAGAAAACTATTTCAACATTAAAATTTATATCTGAACTTATGTTGGAATTATTTACAATTGACTTGTTATAATTATTTAATGTAGTTGTTTAATTAATTTTTAATGTAGTTCGTTTCTTTTCAGATTTTATACAGTGCCAACAGTGTTATGTGCAGTGAATACTAACTTCGGAGGCTTATTGTGCATTAAACTTTTTTTGATATTAATTGTAACTTAGTTTATTTGATATAGTGTTAAAAGTAATTTTTTATTTACCATTTTGCGTTATTTCGAGTACATGGTCCACACTTTTTTTTTTTTTTTAATTTTCGAAAAACGAACGAATCGTATTATGATGAAAATTGCGCGTTTGAAGCTACGTTCCTGCCGCCTACCCCCCACGGCAGGTCCAAGTAGTCGGGTTTCACATTAAAATTTAATTTATTAATTGATTAATTTTTGTTTTATATCTCTGCCTGTATGGACCCCTGCGTTGTTTTCCCAGAAGCAACGCAACCCCATGCACTTAATTTAATAATTAATATTATTTATGCCATTATTTTTATAATTATTATTAATTTTTTTTTTTTTTTTTGCTAAGTGGCCCATGGAAAAAGTAACTTTTTTTTAGATTTTTAACATTCAGTTATATTTTTTTTTAAAAGTTAATTTGATTACTTTTCGTGCCGTAATGTAATGAACACAATTTCATGAATTAACTTTACTTTTACTGGTCGCACAATGAGTCTCCTGGTGGAGGAATGCTGAATTTATAAGTGGTTGAACTTGGCAATGTTCGTGAGATGGTACGAAACTCTGAGCTATGTACAAATCTTTTTAATATTGATAGAATTAAATAAAATTTTAATTTTAGGTTGAACACAGAAGTTACCAGAGAAAAAGATCCTAAAACACTATTACTAAACGTTTACCAGGACGTTAGTGATTACCAGTGTACAGGAGTAGGATGGGCCAGGAGCGCACAAGACCAGAAGAACGTTTGTATATTCAGATAAGTAACTAAGAAGATCACTTTAGTAAGTAGGATGGACCACTTTACGACCAGTAGAACGTTATATTAAGATAAGTATCTTACTTGCTAAGATAGACATAAGATATTAGTTTTTTGCGATCATTTTCTATATTATTTTGTTATATTAAGATATGTATCTTACTTGCTAAGATATCATAAGATATTTTTTTTTGCGATCATTTTCTATATTATTATATTATTTCATCGGGGCCCCATTTACGTTTTCATTCTTTATATTTGATTCGTGGACGGATTTATATACATATTATAAATAAGATATATTTTGGGCAAAATCGTGTTAATACAGTGCCAGACAGTGTTGTGTACAATGATATATCGTGATATATACAGTGCAAAACCTTAATATTTACAATTCAAGATCAAGATATAATTCAAGATCAAGATACATACAGTGAAACATCAACATCAAGATCCATACGAGATGAAGATACATACAAGATTAGAATAACCAGAAAATTGACTACAAAATTGGAGGACGTACACATGGATGTATTATTAAGTTAAAATTAGGCTTAGAATACATTAGGCTAGTTTACTATTTTTTATTTTAAAAATGGGTGGGGAAGACGGCAAGGACCTTCCAGTTTGCATAGATTTCGCGTTTTTTCACAATTATTTAAAATTAATTCATATAACAATACTTAATACACAAATTTATGAACTTTATAAGTGCATTCCTCTTTAAGCTTCATAGTGCTGGGAACCTATGAAGTTAAAGTATTTACATGGTGGATCTTAGGGGGGTACATCATGTAAATACTTTTTTTTTTCTTTCTTTTTTTTCTATTTTTTTCTCTTAATTACAAAATTACCATAGTCCATTACAATTTTACCTTTAATTTCTAACAAGTTCTTGCCGTCTACGGTTTTTTTTCTAAAGAAGATCTTCACATACATTCAATCATTTCGTGGGGTATTTTTCATGTTATATTCGTATCATTTAAGTTAGGTTTAGTAAATTAGTTTAGTTAATTAATTTAAGTTATTTTGTAAGTGGACTAGGGCTGTACTCAATTTGTACGGCGACACCACATAAAAAAAACGCGCCTGGCAACTATACCTCCTGGGTGGTGTGGAAAATAGTTGCATCTTAGCTATAAATATAATAATTATCAATTTAATTATTTTATTAGTTATATTTATTTAATGTATAAATGTGTAATAAAAAATGTAAAATACGCTGATGTTAAATGTCCAAATATTCAATATAATACAACTTTTAAAATAATCTTTGTTTTTCAATCTGAAAATCTCCAACTTTTTTCGGGTAAGATTATTATTTAATAAATAATTTAATTTTATAAACTATATTACGTTTTGAACAAGTGTATGGTTTGGATAATAATATTATGTTATTATGGATTATAATATTATGTCCAATTGTATTTTTCCCTCATTTTTTTTTATTTTGAATTTTTATTTTACTAATATTATATAGAATTACTTACTAATATACTATAGAATTACTAATATTATATATAGAACTAACCTGATTTTTAGTACTTGTAATATATGATACTATTAGTAATAGGAATATTATAATTGGACAAAATATTTTAATTCATAATATGATAATATTATTGATTTTGCAATTTTTTGTCATAAAATATTGGTTCGATACCATAAAAATATCAGCATCATATCATCAAAAGTATTTGCCATAGTAACCGGTATTATTATTTTTGGCATTTTGTCCCGTATTTCCAAAACATTTGGACCTGTCTTGGCAAATAACTAATCAGCACGTCTCGCTATCAATAGAAATCGAATTATTCAAATAAAATTTAATTTTAATAAATTTAATGAATAAAACTCAATAATTTTCAAAAAAATTCGAAATATAAAAAAAGTTTTTTTAAATTCAATTTTTATCATTTTTCAAAAAATTTTGAAGCTTTTTATAAAATGTAATTTTCAGTACGGAAAGTTTCAGTAACTTGCCGTAAGAAACATAATTAATTTTTTTCGGCGCTATGAGCTTGTAAGTGCACAAATTCGTCATCTTAAGAGGGCTCGAGATCTGAACAACATATTTTACTTAACCTTTCAACTCACTTACAAATCTTTAGATTAGCCAAATTGCCAAATTTTGCATTGCATTTGTATAATGTTTTGTTAATTATATTTCTTGAAATTAAAAATGCTATTAAAAAAAGGAGTTAATTATATGGTATAGAATTTTCTTCTCACTATTGGATATCCAAATTTTGCCGCCCCCGAAAATTTGCCGCCCTGGGCAGTAGCCCCGACTGCCCCTACTGTAAATCCAGCACTGGTTACAGATCCAAAGTTTAAAAGAACAAAATTAATAGTAATTAACCATAATTACCGAAAAATGGTCACAATCTTACTAAAGCTCTAGATTGCACTTAAAAGCTCATAACTTCCAAACTACATGCATTATTAACTTTCCTTAAGTAAGTTATAGTAATCGCAAAAAGATCGAAAATAAATTAGAAATAAATTTTTTATATATCTTCACATTTTAGAGGTTTCTGAACATATTGACATACCTTAGAAAAAATGCATGTATGCGTGTGTGTGCTCGGATACAAGTTTTCATCGACGATTTCGGGAACACTATTCAACCGAATTTAATTATTCAAAACACATTCGATTTGTATTGATAAGGAGACGTGCTGATTACTTTTTGATAAATGCAGGTCTAGCAGTTTCGAAGATACGGGGCAAAAAGTTACAAAAACGGTAATTCAAAAAACATTAGACTTGTATCGACAAAATTAAGAAATGATTAAATTTTTGGGAAGGTTTTGAAGATCTAGTGAAAAAAGTAAAAATAAATGCCATTTGGCGGTCAAAAATGATGATTAACATATGTACATCAAATTATCAAATATTTTATGAAGATTTTAATAATACGTATAAATTTTGTTTACATTTCTATGGGTTCCGTATCATCTTTTGTCCGTTATATGATTAGACATATGTACATCAAATTATCAAATATTTTATAAAGATTTTAATAATACGTATAAATTTTGTTTACATTTCTCTGGGTTCCGTAACATCTTTTGTCCGTTAGACTGCGACTTTCGTCTCTATGAAGATATCTTTCAATGCAGCGCGATTGTTTTGAAAAAAAGTTCAAAATTTCCAAAATATTTCAAAATACGAAAACGATTTTTTTTTCATAAAAGTCATTTTTTTTAATTTAAAATTTCTCAAAAATCTATTTCTTTCAAAGTTTAAAAAAAAGTTAATCGTTTTAAAAAAAATAATAATTTTTGTTACGGAAAGTTACAGCAATTTGCTTTAAGGCACGATGCCATACACCACTAGTTTTGCAATTTTTTCATAATAGTTACGACTCATACTATCACCTCGATACGGCTTGACGTTGAGTTCTGGAACACCATGTATATATTTGGGTATTATACCTGTTCCCACAGGGGTATCTTGCTGACTCTGTTGACTATGTTGACTTTGGGTGTGTTCATGACGTTGTGGCCGGCAGGTTGTTTCAGTGCCAGAAACCGCGGGTGGCCCTCGGGACGGTACCGACGACGCTCGTTCTAACATCTGAATACGTGACTAAAAATGAAAAAAAAAATCATGATATGACATTCCTATATAATTTGTTGTAATACTCTATAGTCTATAGATACCAATGTGTATGAATATTATAAGATCTTACTTTAGTGTGCTTTCCTAAAGATAAAACTGGCGCAGGAACCACAGCTCTGCTACCGGTGAGAGCTGTTACATTCCGGGAATTAGAAAATTTCTTCCGTTTTCGGCGGAGAACTGCTAACGCACCCAGGGCTCCTGAAAATGAATATTTAGGATTATTATTAAAATATCTAATTTATTCTTTAATAATCAAATTGAATTATTTCACGAAATATGGGAAATCCTATATACATTATACATTTCAATACTTTGCACAATCATCTCAGAAAAAAATTGACCTTAAAACTTTCGCTAATTGTTATGTATTTTTGTTAAATTCACATTAATCATAATAATTATGATTATTCATATTAAATTTATCACTGTTTTCAAAATACTATTAGCCGTTATAAAATCTTTTGCCCTACCTTTCCTTTCCTCCAACTGCAACGTAGTTATTATTTCGTATTGTAAATTTTTCAGAAAATTTTAATTAATATGTGTTTTTCTACTTTTACTTATTATGATTTGCCGTCACTACTAGTAATTTTTCTTATGTGTGAGTGATTTTCTGAAGTGATATGCATGATTTTATTTTCCATAAATAATTTTAGAAAGCACAACATTTTACTTCTGTATAAAGAAACACCTATTCTGTGAAATTTATTTATTTCAACATCTAAAAAATATCTTCCAATATATTCCAATCATTCGTAAGTAGGGTTTGTCAGTTTTCAAAAACCTGTTTTTTGGCAAAAATTATGGAATTCGAAAACCGGTTTTTTAGTGAAAAAAGTCGGTTTTCACTGTATAAATGGAAAATGACAAATATATGCCAAATATAAAAGATAGATGAAAGCGTTTTGATTCTTGAAATCATATGGTTTAAATAGCATTTGATATGTTATCAGTCTGCAATTGTTCCCAGAAAGGTTTTGATATATTAATTTAGATTGCTATCCGGTGTATATATTAATTTAAATCATTGTGACTTCTTCTTGAAGAAGTAACTTCCTCTACTCAAACTTAAAAAAAAAGTTTTAAACCCCAGAAGCTACAAATGAAAAAACAAAAAACTTAATATTATTATATCAGGCTCCAAAAACAATTAAGCATAATTTGGTCGTATGAGAGTATTTTCTATTTCAGGTAATTTTGTGAGTAAACAAAGGACACGTCTAAGTAGCAATTCGATAGACGTTCTCAATTTTCTTAAATCATATTTTAAAACAAAAAAAACAATTAGAATGTTTAAAATTAATTAATTAAAATTGCTCGAAACATGCGAGTTAATTGTTTTTAAAACTAAAATTGATATTAACAAGTATGTATCAACATGTATCTAATAATTTTTTATTTATTTTTTCAATTTTATGAATGTTTTTTGTTTAAAAATGTATTATTTTTATTTATTCGAAAACTTCCTTTCACTATCATAAAAATATTTTCATTCTCATATGTGAAAATGATGCATGAATAACGAATAATTATTTTCAAAGTTATTAAATCAAGATAATCTATTATTTTTTAGTTCTACCAATTAAAATTAAAATAATTTTGTTTACTATCCATAAAATTGAACAATAAATAAATTTAGTCAAACACTGCTCTAAATCACATTAAATTTGCGGATACATTACAGAATATTCGAGCAAAAATTTATTTTTTATATAAAATTCTAAAACCGGCTAAAACCGGTTTTTAGTAAAATTAAAATTCGAAAACCGGTTTTCTGAAATGTCGGTTTTTGTATAAACCCTATTCGTAAGTTGTGATTATTACCATGGGCTTGTGCAGACGTTGATCCTTCAGGAGCGCCAGGTTGCCCTGTTGATCTCTCCAAGCTTCTGTTCGAATCCGTCGCAGATTCTGTAGGAGCATCGTCGCTGCCTGGACTATTGCTAAATCTATCAGCCGATTCTTGAGTCCCATTGCTGACAGTCATATTCCCAGAAGATTGACTGACGACGGCTGTCGATGCGCGGCAAACGGAATCTTCCGACCTAAAATTATTTATTTAAAATTACAATTCATAAATGATTCATTAAATTTAACACTAAACCTACAAAGTACCAGTCAAATTGCCTGTTTGCATATTTTTTGCAAAACTACATATTTTTAAACATTATAATACTGTTACCAAACTACTTGATAATTCTTGAAATATTTTTTTTTATTTGCATAGAAATATTGCCGATCAAAATAATACATACTTTTTAAGACAATATGCTGGGTGTAAATGCATTTAAGAGATTATCTCCTATGAGATATCTCTTTTTCTAAATTTTTTGACATTTTATTTCAGATCGTATGGCCATTTTTTTCAATCTTCGAGTAGGAGATTCCTCGTTTAATTCTTTTAGATATTTATTTGGGTAACCTGGTAATTTTTCGTGGTATTTTTTTATTCTTGGAATATGGATGTAATATTTTTTTCACTCTTGAAAAAAAAAGCTCTGTTGCCAAGCTATCCACTCAATATAACCGCGAGCAGTAGCAATAGCTATACAAGAATTGTAGATAGGTTTGGTGTTAATATAAAAGACCCGTTTTAAATTCGTTTTTCAAGAAATTTAATATAAATAAAAGTTTAATACCTATTAGTAAGCATTTAAATGTTAATAGAGTAGAGTTGTACTAATTTTAAAAAATTTATAATTATGAGCGATTTTTTTAGATATATACCTAGGAGGCGTCCATTAATTACGTTAGCAAGTTTTTAAAGATTTTTGAATACTACCTCCCCCTTGGTAATATATGGTTATATTCAAAATTATCCCCCTCCCCCACAAAACATAACGTGTATTTTTAGTTACGCAAAAAACTGTAAAATTTTTGAATTTTTTTTGAAAATGTTTGAACTTAAAAAAAATAGTTAAAAAATAAATACACGTGATGTGTTACTATACCCATGCCTCCCCCACGTGATATTTTGCGATTTTTTGTCAAACCCTCCTCCCCCTAAAATCCTCACGTGATTAATTGACGCTCCCCTACATATCATACAGACTGAACTACTTAATGATATAATAAAGACTTAAATTTAATTATCAATTAAAAATTTAAATTTGGATTAACTTCGATTTAGAATTCAATAAAGGTCTCTAATATGCACAACTATACATTTAAAACGTAGAAATATTTTTGGTCTAAATTTTTAGTCGTTATATGAAGTAAGTTATTTTTAAAATATGTATATACAATTTACATATAATGAATGTAAGCTAATGGAATTTGAAGATAAGACCAATAATAACAATTTATTTATTCGACACATCAAATTTTATTTATATTGAATGAATAATTATGAACTTTAGTCTTACTTCTAAATTATCTACTACCTGTTCTTCTAAGGGAGCCACTAATCACGTGATAGATTTTTAAGGAATTTTGGACTCCCTTCCATTAGTAATACGTGGATATTTAAAATTAGTCGTCCCACCATTACGTCCTACACCATTACGTGTATTTTTTGTACTTGCAACAAATTGTAAAATTTTTGAAATTATCTGGAAAAATCTCGGATTATATCTTACTACTTCCCCCAGGTGATATTTTGTAAATTCTTATCAAGCCTTTCCCCCCTTTTAAGAATAGCGAGATTAATGGATGGATTAACTTTCTAGGCTAAAATAAAAATAAAAAAATAAATTGGAAAAATATAACAAAAATAACCTTGATCTACTGATGAGTCGACTAACTCGACCGGATTTTGCAGCTTCTATAAGTGTGCCCCAGCGTCGCTTATGTGAACTGCTTCTCTTCATATGAAACCTGGACATAAAAGAGATTTTTTTTATTATTTTATAAAATATACATATTTGTACAATTAATTATTATAAAAATTATTTGTCTCCAAAGATAAATTTCCTCCATATAATAAGGTAGTTAAAGAATTTATAGACAAAAATAAATTCATAGTATTATAATTATATCTTGCCTTGGTGCCAATCTTCCAAATCCCCTTTGGTGAGTGTCACCAAATGGTGATGGCCCAACGGGCATTTGTGCTTGAGAGTGCGAATGCGAATGTGTGAGTTGGTGCAATTTTCTTGGAGTACCACCTCCGTTTCCTCCAGTAAAAATTCCAGTAAGCGTAGAACCAAAATCTTGTGATTGACTATGATCGTGCTGGGCCGATTGCTATAATAGACATATTATTTTAATATGACAGATAAAAATCCCGAATTTATGTAATATTATGTACTTTTATTTGTAACAAAAACTTTCTAAATCTGAAAATCTGAATCTGAAAATCAAATTTAAACCTTTCCAATAACTAACGAGATATAAATAAGATAATTATAACTTTTCATTCAAAATTACGATTTTGTCAAACACCAAAGCTAAACATACTACAGCATTGTATGCTAATATTATTAATACACTAAACCCCAACCTGCTGTAGCGATGCTATGAATTCTGCAACCGGTGGCAAAGTGTGGGTGCTTCCCGTTGGGGGAGGTGCAATATTAAATCCTTTCATGAGGCGACGTTCCTTTTGACGATTCTTCTTACCACCAGAACCTATGAAAAGAATGTTTACAAGTCGCAATAAAATACATCTCAGAGTCAAAGTAAATGCATCTCAGAATAAACTTATTGTGATTACATGTTATACGAATTTTTGCTTTTAGAAACAATATTATATTAAAAAATTGAAGTACTAGTATCGCCAAATGATACCACAATAGATACTTAGCTTTACCTAATAATATATCAATAATACAAATTCATACAAAATGATAGGGTAGAGTAAAGCACAAAGGACCAATTTGACTATCATTATGTAAACTAAAAAATATCACTATGTAAAACAAATGGAGTACATCACAACACGTATCAAACAAGAAACTATGAAACTATGCCCGGTAAGCTTTTTTAGCTAATTATACAAATACGTTTTTTTAACATATTTTGATAAAACTTGTCATATGTCCCTTTTTAACCCATAGATAGCGTAAATAAGGACTGCTAGAGGACAAATATTATTGGGGCCTTATTTTTAAATTTAAAGCGATTTTACGAAATAATAGCTACATTTTTTAACCAATGTAAAATACAAATTTTATGGGTACATTTTTTACAAAGATCACACTGTACATAACTTTGATCCGGGTTTTCGCAAGAAATATTCATTCAGCAGAGTTCGATTAACTATTAATTGAATTCATCTCTTGCAAAATGGCGTTTTAAACTAAATTTACTTTTTCATTTACTATTTATATTGTATATAACTTTATCAGTATAAAGATTCGGTTAGTACTTTTTTCCACCCCACCCATATGTAAGCTTTATAGAGGCTATATGGAAAAATTTGAATCTAACTTAAAAAAGAAACATATCTGGTACAACTTCAGGTATCATAAACTAAAGAATAGTGTTCAAAGCATAAAAAATACGAACGAAAAAAATATTTATGTTTTGAATATTGATACCGTTCATCTCTTGATACCGACGTTGTAAGAATTAAGGTGTAACCTTTGTTGTCCTCTACTTCAAAATAGCATCGTTAACAAATTTTTAACTTTACTTGTTTTTGAGATAATGGTGGTGGTTCTTTTTAACCGCAGACTTTCAAGCCTTGCATTACCCTATATAAATCAAGCTTTTTGAATCAACTCCGTAAATTTTTGTATTTGTAGAAGATATTAAATATGAGTAAAGTTGTATAAGAGACAGTTTTATAATGGAATATTTTTCTGTTTTTTTTTGTTTTTTTT